CGAGTCAACCCGAATAAAAAGAGATATACTAGTTTGCCCTTGTTGTAAGTATAGAATTACTATCTCTCCTGTTCTATTAATGTAGTTTACTAAAAGAAGTTAATGCTTATAATAGAGAGTATTATTCTATATGTGTTGGTTAATAGTGTTTAACTGAAAAGTGAAGTTGGAAATGTTAAAAAACGAATGGTTTAGTAAATTTGTAACTGTTCATATTAAAAGTGTATATTATGTGGATAGATCAAATAAATGTTGATATATTTGGAATCCTTTTTATTTATTCTAACTGCAAATTATCTCGAGTTAGCGACTTATGAGCTACACTCGCCACTGCAATCCTCAACTAAATAAATTTTATGTAATCGCCAGTACAGTCAAAATTCCAAAGACTAACCCTAAGGATACTGCCAATTACAACTGGCGCAGTCGATAGGATTTTTGAAGTAGCTAATGACAGGTTGGTTAAAGAAAAGAAAGGAGTAAAAGAAAGAAAATCAGCCAAAAGTACTGTAAGTAGTGTAAGCTACAAATAAGTAGTAAGTAATTAAATATAGCTACTGCTGGTGTACACACAATAACAGAAGAGGGTGGTGCATGCCCTAGAGTCAGTAGAAGGGCTGACACTAGCTATGAAGCTGTGGCAGAACAACCCACATAAGTAGGTCCACAAGACACTATACATTTAACAAGTGCCATGCCATTATATCATGGTAGACTTGATGAGGATGTCGAGGGCTTTATTGATACCTTAAATGAAGCTGCCAGAAGATCAGGCTGAACTGATGACCTGAAGGCAGACATATTAAGATTAAGAACAGCAGGAGAAGTAACATGCTATATTAGGGCTTATAATGAACTGCATGAAACCACAGATTTTCAGTATCTAGTATTTAGGTTAGTAGAGGAGTATAGGAGGTGAGAAACAACAAATGTAATCTTAAAAGAAATATGTAATCTAACTCAGCAATGAGAGAAATCTGTATGTGTCTTTGGACATAAGTTGCAGGAGTTAAGAAATAGATTGTGTAGGGCTTATACACACAAAAACAAGTTGATGATACAAGATACTTTAAAATTTGAATATGAGAAAGGTTTGTACAGTAATACAGCTAGATGTCAGATAAATGAAGGAAAGACCCTTCAAGCAACTTTGCTTGATCTGATTAAAGTAGCTACTCGAGAGGAGCTACGAGAGAAACATGTATATAAGCCTAAACATTCTGCTGTAAATGTAGTAAATAGACTTAATAAAGCAGGCTGGCAAAATAAGCAAAGTATGCCCAATGGCTTCCAGTGTTTTAACTGTGGCAGAGTTGGTCACATGGCAAAAACTATTTTTAGAAACAGAAAAGAAATGAACAAGTAGCTTGTTTTAATTGTGGTATTAAGGGTTACGTATCCCATGATTGCCAACATCAACAGAAAGCAGAAAACAAAAAGCCCAAAAGGCTGGAGCTTACAGAGGAAAGTTCCCAAAAAAATAACAGTAGCCCTATGTTCATTGTAGAGTCAAAAAACGTAATCCCCACCAGGAGTACAGAGCAAAAGTAAAGGTAGTTCTTGCAGTTTGAGAGACGAGATTGAGTGTCCATAGTGTTAATGAAGTATCGCCAATAGTTGTAGTGGAAATAGAAGGTATAATATGTCAGTTATTGGTTAACACAGGCACTCGATTATCACTATTAAGTTCAGAACTAGTAGATAAAAATCCAACATTGTTAGATAATGTTTGGAAAGATGTTTCCAGAAGTAATTTAACTTCTATGAAAGTAAGAAGGTTAGAGTTAGAACAATCATTTTACATCTGAAAGTAGATAAATCTAGAAACAAATGGTATCATAGGGCAAGATTTCTTAATGGCTAATGACAATTAAATATCTCTTACTTTGGTAAGATATGCATAGAAACAAAGATCTTAAGTTGTGAAGGACTTGAATCCTCAGACTTATGTGCAACTGTTGAGACACATGATACCTTCCTGCTGGCTAAAGTTAATAGTCAGATGCCTAATGCTAGCATTAGCAAGGCTAAGTTTCAGCAGTCAAAACATGAAAGCACTGTTCCCCTAGAGTGTAGCAATACATGACAAAGTTGGAGAAGTAAGAATAAGAAGTGTTTTAAAAGAAAGCCAGGGAATAAGAGTATTCAGAAATACTCTGAACCCAGCAGAAGTGACAATGGTAATCGTAATAATAAGGTGAGTGATAGTAAGATAAGGCAGAGTAAGTTAGTAAATAATACTTTAAAACAGGGAAATAGTAATCCAAACCCTTCAGATGACTCTACACTTATGCCTAACATAAGCAACAGGGCATCCCAACAGGAGTGTTTGAAAGAAAGAGTACCTGTAAGATTAGTTAAAGTAATTGAAGTACCTGCAAGAAAATAATTTATTGTTGAAGCTAAAGTAAATGACTTTAAGTATAATGAAGAAGTATTAGTTGAACCTATTGAGATAGAAGAAACAGGAGTTTATATAGCTGCTTGTAGTAGTAATGTGTCTGAGAGAGACACAATACCTATAAATGTGTTAAATGTGAGTGAAGAAAAAGTAATACCACCTAAGCATATAGTAGTAGGTAAGGCTAGTAGTAGAGAACAGCTAGCTGCGGTAGGACAGCATAATGTTAATAATGCTAAGAAACAGGTACAACAAAGTAGGATAGAGTGGGATTCTATCGTAGGAAGTGTAGAAAAGAAACATAAAGAGGGTTTCATAAAATTGTTAGAAGAAAATTGAGATATATTTGTAGGAAAAAATTACCCTAATGGTTGTACAAATAAAGTTAAACACAAGATAGTGTTGAATGATACTAAGCCTATAGCACAGAAACCTTGTAGAGTGCCAGAAAACACAGGGTAGAATTAAAGGAATGCATAAAAGAGATGCTTGAACAAGGAGTAATAGAAGACAATGATAGTCCATATACATTTCCAGTTGTATTAGTTCCTAAGAAGGACGGAAAATTAAGGTTCTGTGTGAATTTTTGGAAAGTGAACAGAGTAACAGCCAAAGACATCTACCCATTACCTAATATCCAATAAACCTTAGAGAGGATAGGTGAGAGTAAGTACTTTTCAGCTATGGATTTACAAAGTGGATATTGACAGGTAGAGATAGAAGAAGAAGATAAAGTTAAAACTGCTTTTGTATTACCTTAAGGTAAATATTAGTTTAAAGAATGCATTTTGGCTTATGCAATGTCCCTTAAACATTCCAGAGGTTAATGGATGTTGTATTATCAGGCTTGCAAGATTCAGAATGTTTCTGTTATTTTGACGATGTTATAGTGTTCACAGAAAGTTTTGAAGAACACTTAGATAGGTTAAGGCATATGTTTGATATATTACAGAAAGCAAATTTATAGCTTAAACCAAGTAAAAGTCAATTTCTGAAAAAAGAAGTAGAATGATTAGGTCATTTGGTGATCGCAGATGGTGTAAAGTCTGATCCTAAAAAGTTAAAGGTTTGTAGGAACTATCCAATGCCTAAAATAATAATAGATGTTCATGAATTTTATAGATGGTTTATACCACATTTTGCATTATTAGAAAACCTTTAACTGAATTAACTAAGAAGGAAATGAAATTTCAGTGAACAGATAAAAGAGAGGAAGCATTTGAGAAACTAAGAGAAGCTTTATTAAATGTACCAATTTTTACCAATTCTAAGTTATCCAGATTTCAGTAAAGAGTTTATCTTAAGCACAGATGCTTCAGGTTTCGCTATAGGTGCAGTATTATCCCAGTTAGACGAAAATGGAAAAGAACACCCTATAGCATATTAGAGTAGACAGTTAGGAAAAGCTGAAATAAATTATTCAGTTACAGAACAGGAATGCTTAGCTGTAGTGCATGGAATTAAAATTTTAGATTGTTATCTGTATGGTAGGAAGTTCACTATCATCACAAATCATGCACCATTACCATGGTTAATGACATTAAAAGATCCCTCCTCTAGGTTAGAGAAGGTGGTCGTTATTACTACATGATTATGATTTTGAAATAGTACACAGACCAGGTAGAAAGCATTCTAATGTTGATGCTCTGAGTAGAATTAGAGTAGGAAATGCAGAAACTGAAGAAAAACAGACAATTAATAAAGTAAGAGAAGTAAAAACTGAAAATAAAGATAAGTTAGAAGTAATTTAGGATTTAGATCATATGATTAGTGAGCAAAAGAACGATCTAGTATTAAATGCCTTTCGAAACAAATGATTACAAAGAGAAGATACAGAGTACACGTTAAATTCAAATATCTTGTGCAAAAGGATTAAGGATAACAGGTCATTACAAATAGTAATAACTTAAAAATTAAAGTTATGAAAACATATCACGACACGCCATTCGCGGAACATTTAGTTTTTGCTAAGACATACAGCAGGATAAGTAAGATATTCTTTTGGCTAAACATGAAGAAATATATTAAAGACTATTGTGAGTTGTACATAGAACGTCAAAAGCGAAAAACGAGCCCATTTTTTAAGAATGCTTCTTTACAGGGAATGCCAAGTCTAACAACACCCTTTCAGCTAGTGGCTATGGACATATTAGGCCCATTGCCTACGTCTTACGCAGGAAACACGTATGTGTTAGTAGTTGCGGACTACTTAACTAGGTTTCCTTAGGCTATATGCTTACCTGATCAGAAAGCAGTAACAATAGTCAAGGCTTTTGTAAATAAAATAGTAGCTAGACATGGATATTTACTCTAATATTTACTGACTAATAGAAGTGGTAACTTCATTTCTTAGTTTGTGAGTTATTAGGTGTGAAGAAATTTGAAACGACAGATTATCACCCAGCTGCTAATGGTTTAGTAAAAAGGTTTAATAGAACTTTGTTAGACATGATCTCTCAATACTGTGAGAAGGATAAGAAAACTTGGGATGAGCAGATTCCGTTGTTATTATTAGCATATAGAAGTGCTGAAAATGAGTCTACTCAAGGAAAGTCCATTCTTTCTATTACATGGTAGAGATGTTATTTTATTTATGCAGGATATATTAGATCTTAGAAAAGTTAATTATGCGGTAGATTATGACTATAAAGTAGAACTATTACAGAGAATGCAGTTGCCATTTGAGTTAGCTAACGAACATTTAACTAAAACTGCTGAGAGTAGAGAGAAACAAGTAAATTAGAAGGCACAGATTAGTGGCATAAAGTTAGGGGACAAAGTATTGTTATACACCCAAATAATTAAGAAATGAAACACTGAAAGTTAGCAAAGTTATGGAAATGTTCATTTAGAGTCCTTACGCAGAGTCCAGTTAATTTTGAGATCCAAGAAATCTATGGAAAAGGTAAACAACTAGTACATGTCAATAGGTTGAAGAAAGTAAAAGGTTATAAACCTTATCAATATGAGTGTGTAACAGATGAAACTAAGAAACAGGAACAAGATAAGAGTGTTCTTGAAGAGACTGATAACTTAGGTGAGTTTGATTTGTCTTATGATGTTGAGGAAGAAATATTAGAACCAGAACCAGAAGCACTAGAGTTAGAAGATGGTGAAAGTGTTGTACTAGGTGATGAAGTAATAACAACAGAAAATACCCCAGTTAGTAGTAGCAACAGTGAAGGTAGTACCGCAGTAACTGAGGCTAATACCCCTAGTACCCCAATGATAACACAAGCTGATACAGTGACCCATGATCCCATATAAACTCAACCGGAAGTGACTCTTACAACTAGGAGGAAACGAGTAAGATTCGGTCCTCAAGTAGTTGTACACAAACCTAGAAGTGATGTAAATACAGTTAATACTGTATCTCATGAAGCCAGTGTAATTGATGCTTTCAATAACATGATAGGCTACTTACGAAGTTGCAAATAATCTAAGTAAGATCAAATATACATATAGTCGATACATGTTGCATGTATTGTATTAAACACATAATTATTTGTATTGTTAGTAGGTATATCTATAGGCTTACCGGGATTCTTATATTACTGATGGTAGAGAGTGGGTCTGGACATAATGTAAGTATTGTTCCAGTGGAAAACAAGGAAGGGGTGGTTTTTGTTGAAGAAGACCTCCAGAGAAAAGAAGTGAAGAAGTGAATTGAATCAACATGAGTCAAAGATTTTCAACCTCCAGAGACATACCAATCCGTCCTTGTTGTAAGTATAGAATTGCTATCTCTTTTATTCAATTAATGTACTTTACTAAAGGATATGTATGCGGACTTAAAACCCTAGAATCCGGGTTTCGATACCCGTGGTGGGCAGAGCCCAGATAGCCCATTGTGTAGCTTTGTGCTTATTTACAAACAAACAAATATTAAAGGAAGTTAAGGCTTATAATAGAGAGGATTATTCTATATGTATTGGTTAATAATGTTTAACTCAAAATCGAAGTTAGAATTGTTAAGAAAACTAACGGTTTAGTAAATGTTTAACTGTTACTATTAAAAGTGTATGCTATGTAGAAAGACCTAATAAAGGTTGATGTATTTTGTTCAATATCAGTCTCGGAATCCGTTTCTTTATTCTAACTGTAATTTACTTCGATCTACACTCGCCACTGCAATCCTCAACTAAATAAATTTGGTGTAATCGGCAGTACCGTCGAAGCTCCAACGACTAGTCCTAAGGGCATTGCCCGTTACATGTTAAGAGGTATGGTTTGATATTATAAAGTGAGACTGCTGCTTAGTATGTAACTGTTTTGATCCATAGTTTGCTTGGTTAGAGGTTGGGGGGCGCATTAATAGCCAGTAGCAAAGTCCACAATGCCAAAACAGAAAATTCAGCTAAATTTAGATTCAGAATGCAGCGTTTGATAAAAACACATTTTTTTCTTCCAAACTTGTTATCATACACTGGGTTTTAGGTTGCAATTCGTAGTTCCACAAAGCTTTCTTAGTGTCTTTAATGTTAAATTTATTTTATTTTTTAGCAAGTTATTACATTTAACTAAAGCTACAACTTGAGTTTTAACATTGCTTTTAACGCAGAATAGAAAAGTTTGCTCTAATTTAAGTGGTTTGTTTTTCTGTGACATGTTCTGTAAAGTGAGTTCATGTTGAATAGTTTTGAAGAGATTTTTGATAGACCCTTAAGTTACACATTTACAGACTTTATTGTACTTCTTATTACTTAAATAAAACACAAATACAAATAAAGAAAAATATATTTATTAAAATCCACTAGACGACCAACATAGAAATTACATTATGAGTTGCATAATACAAAAAAATTGAGGTTTGTTTTATTCAAAGAAACGTTTAATTAATAAACCAAATTGTTGGTGCTTACTACTGGACTCTAAGCCTGTATTATGTACTAGCGATGTTCCCCAAAATACCGCCCCTCGGTGGAACAGCGATAAGTTTATGGACTCACAGCTTTAAAATGCGGGGATTGATTCCCCGAGATGGACACAGCAGATAGCCCATTGTGACTTTGCTTTAAAACAAACAAAAGAAAAGAAAACCCAGGAATACCCAACAAGTCTTTGATTCAGGAGCTACCCACAAGTATAAAAATAGAAAGTTTATCCTTTCAATAAAAAGTGGACTGTTTCTAGCAAAATCACTGAGAAATGGATTAAAATATTCATAACATAATTAATATGTAATTATAATATTAAAGTCAGCTTCAGAAACGAGTCAGAAGACATACTGTAACCGTTTCATAAAGAAGTATCCAACTGGAATATAGGATAGCATATTTCATTATTAAACAGGAGCAGCTTAGCTTATTCTACAGTTTATTCAAAATATCCTGATCAGATTAATTGCAATATTCATTCAACTTAAAGCTTGTGGACTTTCATCCTATCGAAAATAATCCACTTTAGCGTTCATTCATAAAAGGCAATTTCTTGTTGTCAGATGATAACAGGATTACCTTCAGTTAAGAAGAAAAGTTAAGAGAGTTTAGAAAACATCTGAATAAACCTACCATACTTTTATTTGAAGATACTTTTACTGCAGTTTGTTCTGGTTATAATTGAATGAAGGGAAGAAGAGGGGAAATAAAATAATAAAATATTTAAAGATATATCAAACAAGCTGAATGCTCGTCATATGGAGGGAAATAATGATTAATTTTCTTCTCAAAATTGTATATGAATAAATGTTTTATGAACATGGAAGTTGATTATAGTTTAGTAACAAATACATATGGAGAATGACTATCCTATTTCTAGTATTTCACGAAAATATAATTTTAAGGTATATTTGGTCATCTGTTTTAAGTATTGCTTGATTAGCATTTTGACTTCTATATATTTTTTATGTTATGTTCAAATGTTCTTGTTGATAAATTCTTATAGATTAAAACATGCGAAAAAACTGATTCTAATACATATTCTTACTTAGTCAACTGTATGCCCTGCAAGTTATTAATTATGATGGGAAAGACAGTGGATTTGGGCTTGGCTTTGTTAACCTGTTGAGTTGAAGAAGTGAGCTTTAATTTGTGCATTTTTCAAAACTGAAATGTGCTGCGGGTAAAACATGCGGATTATTATAGTTGGAGCAGAGGGTTCCAATTGAACAAAGTTTGGTGATGTTGCGTCATTGTGTCTCCTTGACAATCAAGCAAACGTAATGGTAAATTTTAGGCAATGATTATGATTTTTGTGCGCCAGCAATACCAAGCGTGGGGTGCACGGCGTATACCCGATTCGATTTTATTACTCATCACGATCTCCACTAACCTATCCCCAAATCTAATTATATGCCTAAAGTAGCGTATCATCAGTTATAAATATATATATCTGGAAGAATTTTTAAAAGACAAACCTGCTTGTCGCTGCAGTGAGCGCTGTCGTTTCTACAAGTTGCGTATCGATCGGTACCACAACGGCCGAAATATCGGCGTGACAGAGGACAGACGGATGGCTTTTCGTCTTTATATAGTAGATAGCTATTGTTACGAACTCAATGAGTTGTTGATAAATGTGAAGCAGCAGTAGTACTTTCTTTAAAATACATATTACTGATATACGAAAAGGAAATTAAGCGAGTATATTTGGTACTCCTAACAAGGAAAATGTAAACAAGTCCATTGATATTTTTAAAAATGGGAAATAAGCTATTGTGTTAAGCTCAGAAGTTCAAAATAATTTACAGAAAGCAGCTTTTCTTATATAAAGTTATAAAAAAAGAATTAGCAATACTACTTTAAGTATTACTAATTATAGTGAATAAGAAACACAACTCTATTCAATTACGAAATATTTCCTGTTTATAAGGTTTCAAAATTAGACAACATTAGTTGAAATGTTTTAACAAAGGTTCAGAAAAATTCGTAAACTAATCTATCTATGTTAGAAATCTAAACACCGTATCAGTATAATTTGGACTGATCAGAAAAGGGAGTTGTATTTTTTAAATAACTGTATTTTACTTATCGTAAAAGAAGAATGTTTAAAAGGATTACAGTAACAACAACAAACCACAGGAAATTATTTAATAAACATTTCTTACCAAGTAGAAGAATCTGATAAGACGTTTCGCGAATTTTAAAGAATGGTTTATCCTGAAAGAACAATATAATCCGATGCCCTAGATTATAACATTCACAAACTGGCAAAAGAAATGCTCATTATTATACTTAAATAAGCACATAGCTTTAGAATATATTGTCTTAACACCACACAATTATTCGTGTACATCATTAGTGTAATTAAACAATCAAGTAAAGTGAATCTCCAGTGTATGAATATGAATCCAAAGTACACTCTTAAACATCGTAGTGATCATGCTATTGAAAGTAATTAACTTGTAAAACAAGCTAGAGGGATGTGAATATTCTATAGCAGAAATGCCAAAAGTACGGGTACTATTCTGTAGTTTGGGTTAATCACTTATAAGCTAGAAACGTGTTCTGAAGCAAGTGAGACTAAACAAGTGTATATATGTTGTTTCCCATATGACTAAACCTATATTTTAAGTTCTGAATATATATTTATATATATTTTCATTAAGCACCATGTTCCTTGTGAGCATAATGTATAAGAAGTGAATTATTTCTATCATAACAGCATATTGCGTTAACCGAAAATTGATGATAACTGAAATGTGAAGTAATTTAAATACTTACCTTAATTAGTATATTATTTTAATTTCATTTCCTACTAAAAGACGCCCAACTCATATGGATTGTTATTTGGAAGCCATTTTTATAATTTTTAATTTCAATGAGTGAAGCACATTTGTAGGCTACGGCTATTTTAAGTTTAATTTAGATATATACAAAATCGTTGATTTGGTGTTCTTTAATAATTGATTTTTTGCTAATTCATCTGGTACAGGTCAAGGATTGCAAATTTCTTTTACTATATCCTCTTGACCTGAACATGTTCCAAAACTATTGTTGCAGTAGGGTGAATCATGCTGTAGAAGATATGAAATTTTATGTGCTTATATTGTAACAGGTGAGCCCGAGAGAGCTAGTCGTTGGGATCTACTTTCCACAAGTTACAAGGAATTTATTTTAAACTCCAGGAAGACAGTCGTGTGTGTGTGTAGCTGAGTGAGCACATAAGCCCCCAACTAAAGGAATTTACGTTTGGAATGAAGAAACTGACTCAGAGACTGCTAATACCACAACACATAAGATTTTATTCACAAATGTTCCATACACTTTCTTATCAATAACTCCAAAATCATTCTGAAAAGGTTTTACATCAAAACCACCAAATTCCTCGTT